TTCTCTTGATGCATTCTTCTTTTAGTTCTCTCTCTTTTCTTCTTTTCGTTTTTCCCTTTCTACTGACGTTTTCTTTTTTTCCCCACCCTTGTCGTTTTCCCGCCTTCTGTGTTCTTCTGCCTCTGTCGTTCTTCCGCCTCCGCCTTCTGTCGTTCTTCTGCCTCCGCCTTCTGTCGTTCTTCTGCCCTCTGCCGTTCTTCTCCCCTCTGTCGTTCTTCTCCCCTCTGCCGTTCTTCCGCCCTCTGCTGTTCTTCTGCCCTCTGTCGTTCTTCTGCCCTCTGCCGTTCTTCCGCTCTCTGCCGTTCTTCTGCCCTCTGGCGTTCTTCCTCCCTCTGTCGTTCTTCCGCCCTCTGCCGTTCTTCCGCCCTCTGTCGTTCTTCCGCCCTCTGCCTTTTCTTCCGCCCTCTGCCGCTCTTCCCCCCTCTGCCGTTCTTCCCCCTTCTGTTGTTCTTCCCCCCCTCTGCCGCTCTTCCGCCCTCTGTCGTTCTTCCGCCCTCTCCCTTTCTTCCGCCCTCTGTCGTTCTTCCGCCCTCTGCCGTTCTTCCGCCCTCTGCCGTTCTTCCGCCCTCTGCCGTTCTTCCGCCCTCTGCCGTTCTTCCGCCTTCTGCCGTTCTTCCGCCCTCTGCCGTTCTTCAAGCAGCTCTGCCTCTTTCTTTTCCTTTTCCAGTTTCCTCTGTTCGTCTATTCGGTTTTGCTCTTCCCTCTGCCTCCTTTCTTCCTGCTCCTTCCTCCTGATTTCATCTTTTTTCTTCATCTCCTCCTTTCGTTTCATTTCCTCCTGTATTCTCAGCTGATCTTTTTTAAACTGCTCTTGCAGTCTCCTCTTTTCCTCTTGTTTGCGTTTCTCTTCCACTCTCTTCCTCTCCTGCATAGCTATCTGTTCGTACTGTTTCCTCTGTTCTTGAGTCAGCGAGACCCTCTCCTCGTCTCGTCTCTTCTGTTCTTCTATTTTTTGCCTCGCTTCTTGTTTTCTCTTCTCCGCTTCAATCAGCACCTGGTCTCTCTTCTTCTCTTCCGCCAGGAGTTTCTTGGAATCCTCAATGGACCTGGTTCTCTCTTCCTCCTCCTCTTCCTGCCTGGTGTCCATCGCCATCTCGCTCTTAGCTCCCTCCCTCGAGTATACAGCGCCATCGGAGTGCCTTTTCTCAGCTATGGAAATCAGCCCCTGGAGCTTGTGTTCCTCCGACTTGAGGCGTCGAGCCCCCGGGGCGTTCTTGTTGCGCACGTCGTCGCTAGACTGACTCTCGTGCTTCCTAATGGCACCCTTTTTTCTCTTCTCCTCTAGTTTTCTCTCTTGCATTCTTCTGATCTGCTCGTCTCGAATTCTATTTTCTTCCCTCAGTTTCTCCTCATCCTCTTTTCGTAAAGCTGGTAAGTCATCTCTCTTTAGGGATGAAGATCCTTTTTCCTTCTTCAAAGTTGGCGACGCTTCTTTCTTTGTCATGGGTGACATTTCCTTCTTAATGGAGGGTGAACGTTCTTTAGTCAAAGTTGTTTGTTCTTTGGTAATCACCGAAGACTGTTGCTTAGTAAACGAGGAAGATGTCGTTGTGTGAAAAAAAACTTGCCCCTTTGGGTTTTTGTCAGAAAAAATATTTTTCCTTGATTTTTTGGTCGGGATTTTGTGTCCTCGTCTGGTTGAAGCCCCCCTTGAGGGCCTCGGCGAGTCTTTTGAGTCTTAGGGGGTTTGGGGGGTTAGGTGTTGTTTCTCGCCTCTTAGCGATCTCTTCATCCCCTCAGCCGTCGCTTCCCCAAAATGAGCGCTGTGCTGTCTTTCTTTTTTTCCCTTTGTTAGGGTTGTGGATCCTGAACCCCAGGGGGGTTTCTGCTTTCTTTGTGGAAAAGACTTTGGAAACGCGGATAATTGGGACGAAGTGAGAGTAGAAAGTTTTTGCTGTGTTTGTTCTCTTGGCAGACTGCGGACGATGGAAGGGACTGACTCATTGATGATCTGTCCCCCGCTGAGACTGAAGATTTTGAAGCTTAGCTGCAGTTTCGGGGAATTTTAGGGAAGGTTGTTGGGTTTTTCGCGGACTGCTGGGGGGCGGATGAGGGGGTAGCAGGAAAAGCATTGTGGGGGGGAAAAAACATGGGTTTAGGGTGTCGAATATCGAGGGGGAAAAAAACTCTGATGCGGGAGGGAAATGTTTTCTGTGGGGGTGAGAACGGGCGGAGTGGGGGGTACGGGGGTAGACGGAGAGAGTTTGGGTGGTTTTTTTCCAACTGCGGCGGAGACGAAAAAGTGTTTGTGGGGAGATGGGGCAAGATGGGGGGAAGTGAACCTGCTTATCGGCGACTGCACTTGTCTGAGAGGAGATGAATACGGGGGTTGGTGAGGAGACGGCCTGGGTAGTTGGGGGGAAAGCGGCGGTTGACTGGCAGAGGGAGATTGCAGACAGGGCCTTCCTTTGAACCCTTTTGGCCCCTTCTTTCATACCAGCTTGGCGCTCTCAACAACCTGTTGCTCTAGTTCTCGGTGAACCAAATTTTCGCCCCCAGATCCCTGAAAAAGACGGTTGATTAGGGGCCATTCCAAAAAACAAAAAATCCAGGGGGGATATTCTATTAGACAAGAAGGGTGAATGTCAATCCTGTCCCCGAGACTCTCGTGTGTAACCCAACCTCATCACAGCACCAAAAGACATTATTTGATGTATACAGTATTGAAAAGTTGATGAATAAGACAGGTGAAACCCCGGGAATTTTTTACTAAAAAAAACGTTTGCCTCTTTGCGGGCTTCATATCAAAATACGAATGAACCCACACTCCGGAGACATCAGCCGAAGGAAGATGGGGTTGACGAAGTGGAAAGGGTAATCTATCTAATCAGTCCTCATACCCTTGGTGCAGATGATCAGTTTTACCCTAAAGCAAAAGCATTTAGCCGAGTTTAAATTCGGGAAAATGGGGTCCAGGTGAGTGGCTCACAGTGGCAGTACTCATATTTTAAGCGCTGTTATCAATAGATGTGAAGACATTCCGGTCCCAAAAGATTCATCGTGTTGCAATGAAGACAAGTACATTATAACGGTTTAAAAATATTTATTTTATGTTTATAAGCCCCCGGCCCCAAACTTTGCTTCGGTTTAAAGAGAACCATTACCCCTGTATTCCCCCAACATGATGCCCCCAGGGATGAGTCATCTTTGTATTCGCTGTGAAACAGGTTTAACTTTTTGTCCTTAAAGTTTCCCCAGTGTTGAAAATGTGTCTTAACCTGGTATCTTCATTGCTGAAGCGTTTCGCCTACAAAATAGGCTTTTTCGGGGAAAAAAATTTGAAATGCCCAAGTGTTGAAAGGTGGCTTATTCATCAATGGACACCAGAACCAAGCGCTACTTGCCCCAAAGACAAAGCTTTTCCCCAAAAAGCACGCGTCTTTCGGGGGCCAGAGCAAGTGAAAGGTGAAGAAAAAGAAGAGTGTAGGAGGCAGAAAAGAGGGAAAGTATAGGGTTTTTTAAAATTTAGAGGTGTAAAAAGGGGTGGGAAAAAAAAGATTAGAGTGCAAAAATATAGGGGTTGAAGATGAGGTGTGTAATGTGTTGGTCGAGTGAAGGTGAGGGAGTAGGAAAGGGAAGACGATAACTGTGTGGGGTGCTAGGAGGGTAGGTGAAGGGAGAAAAGTAACAGTTTGGGGGAAAAGAAAAACTGAAGAAACAGTTTCGGGCTGCAGTTAGGTGGGATGTAATTAACCAAAGAAAAGTTAAACTAGGGAGAGAACTTTCAAAAAATGAACGCTGCCGCCTCGTCAGTTAATATTAATGGAATGATAAAGAGTCTTAGAGATATACAGTAAGAGGGAAAAACAGAAACAACTAAAATCTTTATTAAAAACAGAGCCCGTAAGTACCTCCCTCCTCCTATTATTGGTATTCGGTACCGAGAAGTTGATAAGTAACATACATATGTAACACCTGGTATTTTTATTGCGGTGCGGGGGCAGTAAAGATCCCCTGTGAGACACGTGTTTATTTCCCTCCGTTTTTTTTTGGCCCAAATCTTTTTCAAATGTTTCTTCGCCAGTGCACAAAAAAACCCAAAATATCTTGTTTACCTTCGAAAAAAAGGGGAATGGAATATATATATTATTATATTAATATATATATATTTTAAAATATATATAAAATTATATATAGATAGAAGATAGATAGATAGAAAGACAGACACACACACCTCAAAGGGTGGACATACTGAGGTCGCCCTTTCCCTGATGGTCAGTTCGACACGGTTTTCCGGGGGCCTTGATCAGATCGTGGCATCGAAGGGGGAAGAGGGGCGGCGCGGACCCTGATCATCACCGTGTGTCCCCGACGCTGAGGTGCTGTCCAGCCAGGCCCGGGCGCCCCCCCGCCGGAAAGCAAAAATTTCTCATATCAGTTTTCATCCCGCTTTTTAAAATCACAGAAAGTACAAATCAACACAGAGTTTTCAGCCACAAAAATTTGATTTCTTTTGTTATAGAACTGAAACTTTTTTAATTTTACAAGATCTTTTGAGGACCGGTGTTTGATAAAGGGCTTTGCCGAAACGTAAATCGGTACCTGAATATTTATTTGTTTGCTTTTTATATATATTATATATTATATATAATATAAAATTTTAATATATATATATAATATATTTTATATATATATATATATATATTTATATATATATATAATAATATATATATATTCAACAGTCGGGGGGTCTCCCCCCGAGGCAGGGTGCCAAAAAGAAAGAAAACCCCCAAAAAGAAAATACTTTCATATCATTCAACCTTTCCCCCATCAACATTATCACTGATTTTTTCAGGGTGCTCAGATACAAAAAAGTTTTGAAGCATAACGATAAAAATGCACAAATATCCCCCCAAACTGGCCAATTCCCAACCCCCCCTTTAAAGTGCAGGATTGTACTTCCCATTTCCCGGATCAAATCATATTTATATTTTATATATAAAATATTATTTATATATATTTATATATTATATATATTATTTTATTAATTTATTATATTTATATAATATAATAAAAACAAGCAAGAAAAAGAGATTCTAAATTGAAATAACCAAAAATAAAAAAAAGAGTATTATTATGTAGAGCACTTTGTCTCTTCAATCAAAAGGAAAAAGTAAAATAAAAAATAAAAAAAGAGGTCTCAACAGCAGGAAAGTGAGCTCACTTGTATATAGTGGTTGTTTGTCACCCCCACTTTGTAAAGGGTTCGAGTGAAAGTCGGCAAGGGTTTCTCAATCTTTTCTAATCTTGGGTTTAAATATTTAAACCCTATCAAACAATACCCGCCGGTGCACAATATGTTCATACATATCAACTAAGTGATGTAAAACAATTCCCACATACAGTGCAATACCCACGTGAAATACTAAACAGTATAAACATAAAAAAAATAGTATACCTACTATAAATTATTAAATCTATCAAAACCAACCCCCAAAACATCCCATACAAAACAAAACAAACCACAAATCTGAGCCTCAATATACCCCAAAATATATATACAATATACCACACCACACAATGCCATACCAACAAAATCAACTACAAAACCCCCAATAAACCCAAAACAATACCACAAACACAAACACAATATACCACCATACATTTCCCTACCACCAAAACCAAATACACAAAACAACACCCTCACCTTACAAAGCACTAACAAAAAAAACCTGAAAAGAAAAACAATTTAACCCCCATCTTATTGATTCAAATCCCCTTTAACACGAAAAAGTGCACCAATAAGCGGTCTAAAGCTCTCGAGCACGGTAGGGACCCGGGTTTTGTTCCCACCGGGGGTGTTTTTTATACCCGTTGGTAAGACACTATGCAACAGTTAGGTATTTTATTTTTAAACGTTTTGCCTCACAGTAGGCTTTTCACGAGTACAAAAAGTTTATAGAAGCAGAAGATACTTTAAGCGATGTAATCGTCCATCACCCTTTAAAATTTTGAGGTGGTTTATCCCCCATCTGGAGAAGAGCATTGTTCCGTTGTTAACAAATGAAATTGAAGTGACAGAATGGGTTATATAGTTTCCCGGGGTGAGAGTAGGGGTTTATTTGGGGGGGCAGGTCCTTCTCAAAAACCCGCCGTTCTCATAGTAGAGGTTGCGAAGTAGATGGTCTGTACCAAAATACCTTGTTTGCATGTCTGACAGAATGAACATTAAAATGGTATAAAATCCGACAGATGTTAGGTAAGAAAAAAAACAACAGTTTTGGATCTTTTTTTTGAAAAAGTTTGCCCAACAGTAGGCTTCTTCAGTGAGTACAAAAGTTGATAAAGCAGAAGTACTTGAAGACGATGTAATCATCCCTCACCCCAAAGTTTTTAGGTGGTCAGTCCCCCAGTCTGGAGAAGAGATTGTTCCCTTTTGGGAAACAAATGAAGTTGAAGGACAGAATCGGGCCTTATTAGTGCCAGGGGGTGAGACTAGGTTGATTGGGGGGGAGGTCCTTCTCAAACCCAGCCGTTCTCACTAGTAAAGGGTTTCGAAATAGTGTTGTACCAAATACCCTTGTGTTGCGGTCTGCG